GGGGGGGGGGGGGGGGGGGGGACAACCACCGAACGCAGGCACGCCGCGAGGAATGCCAGAAATATCTGGCCGAGATGGATGAGTGTGTTCGTGTCTGCCTGCCAGATGCCCAGGATTTTTTCCTGTTTGTCCCCCGGCTGCCCCCCCCCCCCCTCGTGCTCGGTCTCCCCCTCTCAGGTGGCTGTGGCTCGAGGGCGCGCCTGGTTTTCACATCCAAAACTGGGAAGTAGACGCGGATGTCCTGCTCCCCCCCCCCTCCGCCGCGCCTCCATCTCCGCTTCGAAGGCTGGGCAGGCTAAACTTTTTTGGGCGCTCCCTCCGAAGGCGGCTCCTCAAGAGGGCTCACTACTCTTCCCTGCCTCTCCCCCCCCTCCCTCCTCTTGTTGCTCCCCACTGCGCCTTTTCTCGCCCCTCAGCCCCCCTGCCTCCCCTTCGCCGGAGCCCGTGAGAGAGCGTTTGTACCTGTGTGTGCTTGCTCGCGCGTGTGTGGCCGCCTGCCCTCCCCGCCGCGGTTTTTCTTTTCATCATGTCGACTCCCCCCGATGCCGAGGCCTCGGCTGCCCAGCCGGCGGCCTCCGTCCTGATCGCCGTGATCCTCCCCAAGCGGTCGATCCGGAAGACCTTCCGCTTTGACCCGGTGCGTGTGTCGTCTACACCTGTGGCCCGCCCCCCCCACCCAACTCTCGCATGGTTCCTGCCCCCTGGCCGGGGTGGGTCTTTTTTTTTGCTCCGGCTTGAGCCCCCTTCCTCCCTCTCGCTCCTGCCTCTTTCTCTCTCTCTCTCTCTCTCTCCCCTCCCTTCCATTGACACGAGGGGCCATGTGGACAGAACAAAAGCATCTTCGAGATCAAGAGCGAGCTGCCGGAGAAGCTCGGCCTGGGAAACCTCGGCCGCCCAGCCGCCGGGGCCTCCGTCAAGTGGGCCTCCTCCAGCCCGGATGACGATCAACTCATCAACCCGGCCAATTACGGGCTCCTGGAGATCCACGGCTCCAAGGGGTCTGGCGCGTACTTCCTGGATGACCGACGCCAGCTGGGCGCGTACAACTTCCCAGACAGCGTGCGCCCCCTCCTGCCCTCCTCAAGCCTGGGATCGGCTCTTGATGCATTCATTCCACATGGACTTCTCTCTCTCTCCCTCTCTCGCCCTGACCGGTGTGTGTCGCCTGCGGCCCGAAGACGGCTCTGGAGTTTGTGCCCAAGCGGCGCTTTGCCTCGGAGAAGGAGTTCCAGCTGAATGCCAAAAACAACACCCGACGCAATCAGAAGGCTCTCATCGAGGCGGTCATGGCCAAGAGCATTCGCAAGACGCGCGAGCTCCTGGACAAGGGTCTCGATCCGAACTTCACCTTCGAGAATGGAGGTGCGTCTGATGCTGCGCGCCGACTCACGAATGCCCCGGCCACAGCCCTCGCCCCGCCTCTCCTTCCCCTCTGCCGCCGGAAAAATCCCCGGCACGCCCCTTCGGAGGCCCTTAAATTTTACACAGCCCGTGCTCCTCCTTCGCCATTCCGAGCTCACACTTACACTCCCTGTGTTCTGTCGACGCGGGCGCGCCTCCCCCCCCCCTCCTCCCTCCCGAAGAAACCCCCCTCGCGGTGGCCGCGGCCAATGACGACACCGAGATGATCTTGCTGCTGGTGCAGCAGGGCGGTGCACATCTGGACTATTTCTGCGCCACCGACGGCCGGACCCCCCTGCATCGGGCGGCGCAGCGCGCGGCCACCCGAGCAACCTCCCTGCTGATGGACCTGGCAGCGGCCAAGAGCAGCACCGCCCCGGGCGTGGCCTTCCCCGATCGCCCAATCCAGCCGCTGCATTCACTGCCATCGCTCGGGTCCGGGGCCACCCCGCTGCTGGATGCCTGCACGGCCGGGTGTGTTGGCAGTGTTCGGGCCCTCCTGGAGGCCGGAGCCCGGCCAAGCGTCCAGCGCCAGGTGACCGACCTCTCGCAGCCCATCATCCCGGATAACACCCCTCGCGCGGCGCCGGCCCACAACCCGGCCTATCTGGGGGAGCTCCATGCCGCCTGCCACAGCAGCAGTCACGAAGTGGTGGAGTTGCTGCTCGGGCCGCCGGGGCTGGCTGACCCGGACGTCACCAATGAGACTGGCAACACGCCGATGCACGTGTGTGCCATTGGCAACCAACGCGAGTGTCTGCAGCATCTGATGCGTGCCGGTGCGCCTTACTTTCGGCCTCTTCCCCCTCTCTCCTCTCTCTCCTCTCTCTC